ATTTATGTTTAAATAATAAATAATTTAATCTATGTTGATTATATGAAAAGTGAACAGCATGAGTAAGATAGGACCATAAGATGCACAATATATCAGGAGACATATGGAGTGGGTCAGACATGATTTTGACCACTTTATTAAGTTTTGTCTTGTAGAAAGCCTTTCTTTAAAGTGAATTTCGTTTGTATAAATTGTATCTTAATTTTAATCAATGTGTCATCAACCAATAGCCTGGATTTATTAAATAAGCAAATATAGCAGACAATATAATCAGGACATGGAGGCGCTGGCGCGATCATTTGCTTTGCACGTGAACTGGAGCTCGTCTCATAAATAGGGTTGGGAACCGAAAATCTGTGTTTTTGAAAAATACCTGAACCATGCGAAATTCCTAAGTTATTTATGTTCCGAAAACGGTTCTGGTGCGATCTGTGGGCGAAGTTCTGGGAGCTTATCCTTTAATAGCGATGTCTCACCTCATGAATATTAAAATAGTAATGAATGCACTGAAAAGCTCTTGCGCTACTCATATACGTTTTGCGTCAGGTATCAACACACAGAGAGAGTATAAGACAGTACAGCTGCACGATTAATCTTAAATCCCAATCTCGATTCAAACACCCACGCGATCTTATTCCTAAATGACAAAAATCTGTTTGCGCTGTCGCTGACCCAGAGAGAGCAGTTGTCATGAAACCGCTTACTTTGAGTCTTTTCAACCACACAGTATCGAGTGTTACAAATATTCAAATGATCACAGAAGTATTGAGATAAAAGTTTACAGTTCGAGTATAAACACTAATGTCTACGGTAGCAACCAAAATAGAGTAAATAACCTTTTGAAAGTCGCTTCAAATAACGAGTATCGATTACATCTGATGCTTCAAAACATTCATAAAGACGACTGTTAAAGCTGCAGTCCGTAACCTTTTTGTGTTCAGAATTTACTAAATGTATATAATGAGTGAGTACATCATAAATGGCTTTTTTCAAACCGTGTTTTTGTCTTATCCTGAATCACTACGTTAAGCCTGTAATAAGCATTTATACTCTGACTACTTTACACCGGTCGAGTCGGCACCGCTGCAGAGAAGCCCAGTACCTGTGTGACTCGTCATAGATGTAAACAGAGAGGAGTAGCTCCGGCTACAATGTTCTTCCACAAGACGCATGCAGTTCTATTTATTAACCGCGAAAGAAGTGAAGTCTTTATGAATCAATCATTCAAACCGATTTTAAAAATAATCTGTTTCACCTGTCTGGATCTTACATGTGTGTTCAAGCATATTCTACCCCTTCTGAGAGGGTATTCTCCACTGCTGGAGATACAATAAACTATGGAGGGATTATTGGGTCAGATCGAAAACTAAAAGTCTAAAACTAAAAGTCTAAGTCGAAAACTAAAAGTCTAAGTCGAAAATGAATTTGGTATTTAGGATTGGGCATTTGGTATTTAGGATTGGACATTTGGTATTTAGGATAGGGCATTTCGTATTTAGGATTGGGCATTTGGTCATTTAGCCATTTAGGATTTGGCATTTAGGGATTTAGGATTGGGCATTTAATCATTTAGCCATTTAGGATTTGGCATTTAGGGATTTAGGATTGGGCATTTAATCATTTAGGATTGGGCATTTGATGATTGAGGATTGAGGAGTGTATGCAAATAAGGAGGCGTGGCCCAAATACTGGAGGCTGGGTTTGAAATGGCTGGTGCGCAGATGCACCTTATGGACAGCAGAGGGAGCTCCAGTGCTAAGGAGCACACTAATGAAACCAAACAGAGCGAGTGAGCAGGTCTGGAGCGAGGACTGTACTTTACTAATGTGATAACTTCAACTTAATGACAGCGTTGTATAGGGGTACTGGAACGGTACATGTATTCCTATTAATCCGAAACGGGGAGGCGCGGGCGCGATCGAACTGGGTGTGTGTGTGTGTGTGTGATTTTGGTTGGGTGACAGTTGTAGGTTACAGTTTGACAAGATTTTAGAGTGTGACAAAAGCACAATGTTGTATTTTATTGCGAGTGTACTGTACACAAATATACACACTTTGCAGTTTGAACTTTGCGCACACACTCCAACATTGCAATCTTGACGTCGCAGCCTGTTTATTATGCTGCGTTCACACCAAACGCGAATAGAGCGAAATGTATCGCTATGAGTTTTATTTATTTAATAAATTCGTGCACCGAACCGTGATGCCTGTAGGCTACCGTTTCGGTTCAATAGGAATACATGTACAGTTCCAGTACCCCTATACAACGCTGTCATTAAGTTGAAGTTATCACATTATAAAGTACAGTCCTCGCTCCAGACCTGCTCACTCGCTCTGTTTGGTTTCATTAGTGTGCTCCTTAGCACTGGAGCTCCCTCTGCTGTCCATAAGGTGCATCTGCGCACCAGCCATTTCAAACCCAGCCTCCAGTATTTGGGCCACGCCTCCTTATTTGCATACACTCCTCAATCCTCAAATGCCCAATCCTAAATGGCTAAATGATTAAATGCCCAATCCTAAATCCTAAATGGCTAAATGACCAAATGCCCAATCCTAAATATGAAATGCCCAATCCTAAATACCAAATGCCCAATCATAAATACCAAATTCATTTTCGACTTAGACTTTTAGTTTTCGACTTAGACTTTTAGTTTCAAACTTAGACTTTTGGTTTTCGTTTAAGACTTTTAGTTTTAGACTTTTAGTTTTCAATCTGACCCAATAATTCCTCCATAATAAGCTAGGGGAGGTCCCAAATTCTCCTAGAGAATGCAGAAATGTTTTATTTTCCTTAGAGATGTTCCGATACCCTTTTTCCCTTCCCGATACCTGGACTCAGGGTATCGGCCGATACCGAGTTCTGATCCGATACCTGGGTGTGTATCTATACAGCTGCAATTCATACTAGCACTGTATGAATTGATAGAATTATTTTATGGTGTGCTTCAGACTTATCCCTTAATAAAACATGAACAAATACAGTGAACTAGAGTATTTTTATTATCTGACATACATTTCACAGCAATATATTATTTATTTTTCTTAAGTGAAAAAGAACTTAAAATGCAGTCACACATCTAATTCTTTAAACTGAAAAAGATATTTTAGATTTACAATATAACTGTATAAAAAAGTGCAACAAATAAATCTAGGAATCTAAAAAATTATATATGAATAATATAAGAAAATAACCTCTTTATAACTTAAAGTCCAGAAACAATTTTGTTAAATACACGGCATTTCAGTTGACAGCGGCTGGTCATCCAGAACAATAAACTCGATAATTTTGTCGGTTATATTTATCGCTCGTTGGCTGTCTTTTGAAAACGTTTCTCTTCGTTTGAATGAAGCTTCCAGAGATTGTTGATTCTGGCGCGGCTCATCCTTCTCTGCCCTTGCCTTTGTGTTCTGCGGGTCGGGGTGACGCGTCTTCAAATGCTTTATTAAGTCTCGAAGCTGCTAATCTTGTGCCACCCCTCGAAATTGCAGTATAGCATATGAGACATATCGCAGTTTTACTGGCTGGTTGGTCCAGTCTTAAATACTGCCAAACAGCGGACATACTGCTAGCGCGCGCTTTCTTCTTCGCTGCTCTAAACAGTGGTTACTTGTGGCAACAGCACAACTTCCTGTGTTGTCACAAGCAGCTACTGTTTAGAGCAGCAAAGAAGAATTGATCTCCAATTTGCAGCGTTAAGCAAAGCTAGCATGCATAACTAGTTGTTTAAGAAAAGGGCATCGGATCGGTACATGGGTAGAAGTACTCGCCGATACCGATGCCAGAATTTTTATTGGTATCGTCGGCATTTCCGATACTAGTATCGGAACAACTCTAATTTTCCTGCAAAAATTGCTAAATAATATGTTGAATTTGTTGACATTACCAGTCTGTTAAACTCATTTGACAAGTATAAGAGAAAACAACACAAAAAGGATTTTGCATTTTTCCTTTCATACTATTTTTTATTAGTCGTTTTAATCATTTTTATTGAATGGGAACAAGAACCGAAACCGGAAAATTTCTTACAATTCCCAAACCTACTCCAAAATAATGAACCGAAACTCAGCGTATAGGCTACTTGCCTCACAGACATGAGATATATATCCATAGAAAGCTTGAAATGTCTACCTTTAAACAAAACAATTCAAAACGAAAAGAAACAGACTACTCTCTGCTTATTACTCTCTGCCGTAAATGTGCATTTCTCTCTATAGGCGTGTTCACTACTGCGAAGATGGTGAGTCAGCATCGTCAACTTCATCTTTGCAGCCGACACTGACACAGAAAACACTAGTTTATTAATAAACAATTAAAATGTCTGCTTTTCTATATTTGACATATTCATAATCATTAGCCTACTTTTGCCGGTTCTTTGTGGCAAGGTTTAAGCGTGCGCTTGAGTGCGGAATAGGCTAATTACGTAATGGCTCCTTATATTATATTATATATTTAAGTAATTAAATAAATATAAATATGCGATTAGTCGACTAATGGTTTAAATGAGCAACTACTAGTCGACTAGAAAAAACTTTAGTCGGGGGCAGCCCTACTTATTTAATATATTTTCGAACCAGCATGTCACAAAGTGCAGAAAGGCGCTCTCTGCTCTGCAGGAAATATTACCACTCCACTCACATGCTTTGGTGTGAAACAATGTGTTCTTCGGTTGTCAGAGTTTATTGACAGCTTTTAGGTGCGTTATTGGCTGTGTCACCCTCTGGTTACATGAACCACAACATCAGCAACGAAAACATGGGGATTTTATTTTTTAGACAATGAACGCACAACCTATTTGATATTCTGTAATTAAATCAACTAATTAAATATTCGAAAATCGTGATTCATCCCTACCAAACACAAGTCAAAACTTCAACGTAGCCTACTCATTGAACAGTTTTCACATTTTGAGGCCTTTAATTAATATTCCATTCAAAGACACAACATTGAATGGTTAATCAGTGTGGTGATACCAGTCAATGTATTTTCTTTTCTTTTTCATTTCCATCCAAGTATACTCACCATTCATCTGGCTTCAACTGCAGTTGGATTTGATAAATATTACTGCTCTTGAGAGTAACCTGTCCCACACCATTCACTTCAAAAGGGATAAATGTCACTGCATTTCCAACCATATCTAAAAAAAAAGAGAGACATTTTTAAAAAATCAACAAGAAAGATAAAATATCCAACAGGTTAATTCCGGGCTGTGTCTCACCTTTAATGACAACGTCTTTGTACCGACAGTCTCCGGTCTTATTCACTTTGGGAATAATAGTTCTTACTCCAACACACCAGCGTCCTGCAGTTTCATGCTCCTCAACCACAACATCAGCGTGAAGAAACACATAAATATCAGTCATCTCAATATTGGTCCCCAGAAGACAAGATAAAACCTGATTTAATTCCGCAGTGTCCACGTCCCTGTACTCTGTCTCTGTTACGCCACACAGTCTCTTGTTTACTACATGTGGTTTCTTGATCCAGACGTCAGCAGCGGACCACAGGCTCTCTGCGCTGCGCGTATCTGTCATGTTTATTTCAGAAGGCTTCCGACCTCAATAACATACATAAAAACCGCGCACAACATTACTAGAGTAACGTTACTGTCCATTCAAACCACGTCGTCGTCGTCGTCTTCTTCTTCTTCTTCTTCTTCTTCTTCTTCTTCTTCGGTGTTTATTGGCGCTTGGCAACCTAACTTCTTGGTTCATTACCACCACCGAATGGACTGGAGTGTGGATCAGGGTATGGTGGATATGCGGGATGAAAATAAAACATAAAAAAACAAGCAAAACAAATATACAACATAGAAAAATAAAACAAAACAAATAGACAAAAAAAATAATCAAAACGACTATATTCCTTTACTTAATTTAGCCTAATTTTTTTTATAAACTTAATAATATCAATCATCATATATCTTAGCTGTTTTAGACCTGATAAAGAAAAGGCAATGGAAGAGTTTTTTTTTCTCCTGTATCCTGCAGCCAATCACTAACGGACGAAAATAAAATATTATTTATTAATCAATAATAGCCATTGTAAAAGTATAAGTAGCCTATTTGTGTGAGGAAATATAACATATTTTGTTAAAACAATTACACAGCGCATGAGAACGGTTCCAAGTCTATTTGATGCATATTAAAGGCTCTCAGCCAATCAGATTCAAGATATATTTACAAGCATGTATATTACTTTTACAATTCTTTGTAAATCAAAAATCAAATTTTTTTATTAATAATAAAACTAGCCTGTACTTTGTAAAGCTCACAATGATAGGCTATTAAAGTCTTGATGTCTTTTCTTTACTGTATTGCCTGGTTTCAGTCAGTTACGTTTTTTATTAGTAAATTTGCATTACAATGATTACAAAAATATGTATACTATTTTATAGAATATTTATTATAATATTTAGAAATAGCTTTTATTTTGCTCTCTGCTAACGTATTATTTCCGTTGCGGGCAGATTTTGAACTTTCACCCCGCCTCTTGTTCTTCCTCTTCCGCCTGCAGCGATAGAAGGTATGGTGGATTGCCTTTGCGCTTAAAATATGATTCAAATATCCATCGTCATCTGCTGTTTCTGAAGATAAAATATGTGATATTTAGAGTTATATGTGTAGTTCACAGTCTAATCGAAGAGACCATTGCCATATTAAGTCAATTAATAGTCTCAATAACGGAATTTTGTTACTTGTGTTTACACGGTGAAGTTATCATTCACGTTCCGTATAAACACGAACGCATCAGACTACGATTTTACATTTGATACGGTCTTTACAACAGTAGTGAAAGTGTGACACGGTTATAATCTTTGATTTCGTTTACGCATATTTGACAGGTGTTTGTACATTTTAAGTTTATACTCTAAATTATGCTTATTCCGGTATTAAGCCTACACTCCACACAGGCTTTGCCATCTTTTATACAGACATAAAGACAGACATCTTGTAATTTTTTTCAGGTCAAGATGGTGCAGCGCCTGACTTACCGCCGTAGGCTTTCCTACAACACTGCTTCAAACAAGACTAGACTGTGAGTGTGATTCCTGCATTGATTCAAATAATCTTCACCGGGCACCGATGTTCCCATAATAGAGTGTCTTGTGTAAACATATTCCCATATAATAGAGTGTCTTGTGTAAAAGCTGTACGTAATGACTACATCATGTCACTCAGGTCCCGTACTCCAGGTAATCGCATTGTATACCTGTATACCAAGAAGACTGGCAAGGCACCCAAGTCAGCATGTGGAATCTGCCCCGGTAGACTACGTGGTGTAAGTGATGTTCTGTGTACAGTTTTTTGTGTGCATGCCATGTTCAGTGATGTAAATAATGTTTGAGAATAGAGACCTTTGGATGAACATCTCTGGGGGAATCTAAAAGAGCCGTGTTGAATTTTCAGCTCTGTTGTAGAGACATTTTTTGGGAGGGGGGTCTTGAGGTATTAAGCATGGTATAACAATGTTAAAGGAATGTGTAGTGTAATATCTGTTGGAATAGTCAACTAATGTAGAGAAATCAATTTGTACAAAACAGCTGATTCATTCAGCAATGAAACAAATTACTTTGTTATAAGTCTTTATGAATGGCTCATTAACTCACCCAAATCGTTGGGGGAAAAAATTAGGATTAGTTCAGGAACGAAACACCACTAAGAAGCGGAGAAGTCTAACAGTTCTGCTTTTAGAACTTTTTCATTGGCGAAAACACCAATATTGACAATGTTATTTCTATAATATTATTTAAAGCTGCAGTCCGTAGCTTTTTTTGGGTTAAAAATTATCCAAAATACATATTTGAGAAAATACATAACCAGCCAGTGTTCAAAACTATCTGCTTGCCTTAGCTCGATTCAAAGCGGTAAGCTAAATAATGTTTTTAATTCCAGTGGTAATGGTGGATTTCCGCGTGAGGTTCGAGCATGTCTTTGCGTCATTACGTCAAATCTGTACACATAGAGTAGGCATGTCACGGTACCAAAATTCCAGTAGTCGGTACCGATACCATTAAAATTTTATGGTTCTCGGTACCAATTTCGGTACCACAGCAAAATCAGTTTGAACTATTTTTCCAATTTAACTATTTGAAAAAAAATATTCAATTCAATGACTTTATTATTTATGACAGTAAATGTATGAAAGCATTGAAAGCTACATGCTCATTAAACGAAAATATTGATGATATTGAGAAATATTGCTTATAAAAAAAATCAAGCGAGAAATAAGCAACCTTCTATGCACACATTATTATTAGTAGTAGTAGTATTTTTAATTAATGGAGACGTAGTTAAATCTATTGTACAGTAGCCTAATATAATTATTTCTGTCAATTTCTTTAAGTTAAACCGAACTTTTATTTTGACGGGTTGCCGTGAAGACCTTTGAGTTTCTGTGCGTGTATGATGGCGATAGTTTTTCTCAAATGAAACGGTAAAATGCTCATGAAGTGACTCTTGGAGATGAATTGAATCATGAATCATGTCATCATATCGTGAGGCAGCAGAGACTGGAAACAGTGCGAGCGTCACTCGTGCTTCAGTGTGTGTGTGAGGTAACGTTAAATGAAACCGCGCGTCTGCGCCGTTCATTCACACAGAGACAAGCAGAACATGCAGGGTTAATATTTAAATAGTCTTTTTGCAGTTGAATATACACAGACGCCACATCAGCAGCGCCGCCGGTCGCCATGTCTCAGCGCTTTCATGAAGAGAACTTCACGCCCTTCGTGCATGCATGCGCATCCAGAACCGGGTTTGACAGGGTACTCGGTACCACCGGTACTTGGTACCGTGACGTTTAAAATTGTTTAGTACCGACTTGGTACCGAAGTACCGAGTATTTTGACAACACTATAAAGGAGTCTCGGCTAGTAGGCTATAATGCGTGTGAGGATGTTGGAGGTGGAGATTTATAGCCTTTTCTCACAGCACTTGATATAATTAAACTTATCAATTTGATGGCGGATCCAGAAAGGTTCAAACGACAATCACCAGTGACAACAGATTCACCCGCTGTAAAATGCAAAAGACTTCGTTCGGACTTCGGAGTGGCTACAGAAAGAAGAGACTGCAACCGGCCCATGCGAAAACAAGGATACATATCGGAAGGACAATACATGTAGTCACGCAAGGCTTGCTTATGTTGTTAACATTAACAATTTGAGAGCAAAGTATAATTTGCACGGTTTTGCGTGATATGATAACTTATAAGCGATTTTTAGATTTAATCAGCGCGATTTACTGCAATGTCAGAACCAGAACAAAGGTGGATGTTTCTTACTAGTTCAGATGACATTTTCCGGTGAAAATTCTTATGTTGGTCATACTTCCAAAAAGAATAATCTGTGATTCTGAATGCCAGTATCCACACGGGCGCGGTGACTGACAGCCTCAGTCTCCTCAAACATTGTGTTCATCCACGCTGTGCCGTGTCGAGGGTGTTGAACTACAACTCACGTAAAGTTGATAATTCCGCGAATGACTGCAATTGCAGATTTCGAACAGAGATGGCGAAAAAGAGGGAGAACGCCGGACTGCAGCTTTAATAATAACTTGCAGTTTATTGAACTGTTGTATGAAATCAATCATGTTTGCAATCTGCTGATATTCGGAAAATCGGCACTCTTGCTCATGTCATTAAGTTATATAATGTCATAAATGTTTTAAAGTCCCTGTAAAGTCAAAATTAAGTATGTGTTCTGAGTTTGTCACACCACAGAAAAATGTGTTATTAGCCACCCAGCCAAATTTGAATGATAAAAAAAGCCGCCAAGTACATAAAATAAGCTATCAAAATGTTGAAAAAATGAGCATTATTCTCTGCTCTCAAACGCTGGGGGCGTGTCCACTGGCTGCGCTGAAACCACGCCCACTCGAGGGAAAGCTGCCGACGCTGATATTAGGTGATACTGCTTTCAGGACGGGGAGATGAAGGCCGAGGCGGGAGATAGTCGGTTCGGCCCCATTCACACAGCGGATTATCAGTGAATCCCAGTTGTCTCCGACGAAAGTTTATAAAACTATCCCGTGTAAAATGATCACTACAGAGGCGGGTGTTGGCGGTGATCCTCAGCTCTCGCATCAAGGTTGGCTCTTCACAAAATTAATCCACCTCTTCTTGATGTGATCGTTTTTAGGAAATTTAAATAAAGACACCGATCTGTTTTGTACATGACCGCATCCAGGTAGTAGCCTACGCATTTCTGTGTCGAAGGCATAGCTAGCAAGCAAACTGTAAGCTGTAGTAACTAATAATACTGACAGTAACTCGCGATTGAGCGCCAAACTTATGCGAATGTGCTCTATTGTTAGGGGAGGAGCCAGCCTCAGTGGCCTCAGTGCGTCATCAAGTAGGGGCGTGTCCAGGAGCTCAAGGGCTCCAGTGCGTCATCGAGCCCCGTTTTAGCCCCGCCCAAAAAATCTGGAAAATAGCAATGGTGAAAAACTGTTTAACGGTCTTAACTCCACAATTCAGTAATTCACAGTTCACAGTCTTTGTAATATGTTTTAGCAATACATTTCTAACATTTATAATGGGTTTAG